TGAGTATATAAAAGTTATCAAAGTTACCAGGCTTATAATTTAATACGCCATACGCGCGTTTCGTCTATATAAGACTCATCAGTGACGCTCAGATAAAAAAAGTTATAAAGCCAAACAAGTACAAAGTTAAAGAGCATTGAGGACCCAAAATTCCAAAAGGTTGTGCCAAATACGGTTAAGGTAATCTATGCCTGGGATAAGAAAATCCTTAGTATTTCGAAAAATTCATACTTATGTAAACAGGGAATTTATAAAAATGACCATATAATTGTTATTCATGTCAACACCGAAGTGCTGACTACTGGGCTGATGATACCCTCGAGGACGAAACGTCCACCAGCAGTGGCATCGCCCAGTGGTGTAAATAGTTATCAAAGTTACCAGGCTTATAATTTAATACGCCAGACGCGCGTTTCGTCTACATAAGGCTCATCAGTGACGCTCAGATCAAAATAGTTATAAAGCCAAACAAGTACAAAGTTGAAGAGTATTGAGAACCCAAAATTCCAAAAGGTTGTGCCAAATACGACTAAGGTAATCTATGCCTGGGATAAGAAAATCCTTAGTACGTACACGATTACTATGTGCATTGTGTACATTAGTAATCACCCTATACAATTTCGTTGTTCCGCATGAAGACTTATCTGTAGTGTACTGACATGATAGTATTTGTTTTGCCACTTTAGCTGTAAAGTTTTAGCAGTTATGCAATATGTGTGTACTCGTTTTTTAGTTGGGTAAATTCATATTTCAATGACTTACACATAAACAAGTAAAATATACGAAAAGGACAATGGTACAGAAGTCGAGTATACGTAACTTGTAGCAATCACATTCCTGGTGTAGTTGGATCCTGAGAAATGATTTGGACAGAAAAGGTTTTTTACAGTGTTAATTTAATTTTTTATTCCTTTTATTTATATTTACTTTATTAGTGTTGTCAATATAACAGAACCATTAAAATGTTATACAAGTTCTAGCTATAACCCACTATTTTCTGCAGAAAATGCTGTACCTTGTCATGAATATTGCAGTTGTTTTGCACTCAGTCCGTTCATTGGTTTCGTTTAGTTTTGTCGGTTATTATTGGCTTTCCCTTCATATAAATAAATTTGGTGTATTTACTGTCTTCTGATTGGTTAAAAGCATTACCTTTATTTTCAATGTTGTCAATTTTTATGGCGACACGCTCACTCTGACGTTGTGTATTCATACGCCAACATGTGTGTACGTTGTTATTGTTAATATAAATAATATAAAAAGCTCTTTGAGCCTTATTTTTGATAGAAATTTATTTATAATGAATGACTATAATTTATTTTGAATTTATTGAACCATAAAATTAATTTTTGACTCTTCACATTTTACATAATCCGCTTCGCGGATTATTCAATGTGAAGAGTCAAAAATTAATTTTATGGTTCAATAAATTCAAAATAAATAATAGTCATTCATTAAATATTTGCCAAGGAGATTGATATTTTTGTTATACTTTTTCACAATCCCATTATTTTGTCGATGTTGTGACAGCGAACTATCTATGGGTTAATAATACATTTGTACAAGTCAGTAAACTGAACAAGAACAACTAATCTTCGGGAGCACGTGAATCCCCTAGGGGATTTATGTAGTTGTTTGATTTAATATTTGTTAAGGGGATATGGAAGTTAAGATATTTGATGTAGTATAGTTTCTAGAATGCCAATGCACTAAGGCCACACTTATTAAATTCCATGTTCGACGTACTCGTCCTCACATATTTTGTTTCTAAACAAAAAAATAAATATTTTTAATATTCCTGTTTCCCGAATCCAGAAAAGTAATTGTGTCTATTTTTCCTACATTTTGTAAACATCAAAAATAAACAGCGATCGCAAGAGCGTTTTAGTCATAGTCAAATCTCAACCTTTTTAACTTTTTTGAGCATATACACAGTTTTCTTATCACAGTCATGGAAGATACTTCACAAAAGCATGCCTGTTTTCATTGTTAGAATGAAGGCATAGAAGAAGAAGTGTTACCTTCACCTGCAAAAGCGTTTTCAGGCAGAACAAAACTGTACATACCCGCTGCATTTTGATGGAACCTGTTGGTCAGTAGTTGTCGTTTATTGCTGTTATTCATATGCGTTTCTCGTTTTGTATATAGATTAGACCCGTTGGTTTTCCTGTTTGAATTGTTTTACACTAGTAATGTTTGACCATTTATTGCTTGCTGTTTGATGTTAGCCAAAGCTCCGTGTTGAAGGTTGATATTGGGTTTTTTTTCCAGATATTACGACTTTACGAGAGGACCGCGTTGGAAGTACATACGGAAAAAACATAAATACTAGTGTAGATGGTATGTATGTTAAATTACAATGTATACAATGTATAAGATTTTTTTTATTCATGATTTAACAAAATGAATTGAATGAGTACTATGCGTCTAATGGTTCTTTAAAATATGTTTGTCTTGTTGAATTATCATTTATGAATGAATACAGAATGCTGTGTTTGGTTGCTCTTTGCCCAGAGGTTATTTAATTTTTTATGAACTGGAACTTGATAGTAATATACTTTTTAACCAACTTTTTCAGTTTGTAGAAAATATAATATAAAACACAGGCAAACATACAACGAGTACATTTACGTATCATACCTGTTGTTGATTCGTTGGTATAACAATAAATGAGACTAGTAGTAGCTCTCTGCATTATTCAATGTAATTTTTAGTTGTTTGAATAAAAAATGTAAGACGAATCTAATTCATAGAAATACATTTAAAAAAAATAATATCTAAATGCATTTTCCATGTTGCATGCATGTTTTTGTGTACATGTAGTAGGATATAGGCAACATATAAACTCATCATAGATACCAGGATTGGAATTTGTTGTGTTTTGCTCCAGACGCCCGTTTCGTTTTCAAAAGACTCATCAGTGACGCTCAAATAACAAAAAACGTTGAAAAGGCCAAATAAAGTACGAAATTGAAAACAATAACAGATAATATATATCTAAATCGATACAAAAGAAATCTATGTAACACACACCATTATATTGAGTCACATAAACTACGAATAATCAAAATCCGTGGAGTCGACAGGGTACGCGTCTCTTCCTTAAGATGCAACACTCCTTAAACGAATCCACATTCAAGCATTTACACATTTTTCTATAATAATGTGTTTATCGTATCATAAATCAATATTCATTGAAAGATTTTCACTCCATTTAAATTTTCTTTTCAGAACTGTTGTCAACAGAAATGATTATAATCTTTGCACTATCAGCTATAGTAATAGTTTTTGGTGTATGTTTATGCTTCATTTTGTATAAATATAAGTTATCGCAAAACAAGAAGAAAAGAACAATTATCCAATTGCCAATTCCTCCACTTCCTCAAAGTAATCAACCAATTGCAATGGAGTATCGTTTATATGACATTATTAATGAAGCAGATTTGTTAGATGATCATGATCTACAGCAAATACGAAGGTCGGCTGATTATCTAGACGTTATAAGCACAGGAAGTACTGAAAGCTCAAATATGGTTAACCATGATTCAACTGCTCTAACAACAAAGCAAGAAAACTGTTCCGTATCAAGTGGCGATAATACCTCATAATCTGATGAAAATAACCAGGAAGTAACAGAAGGTTACTTAAATCCTTATCAGCCAATAATTAAGATGTCGCAACCAACAAAAAGAGAATATTTAGCACTAGCAACAATACACACAATAGACAGTGATGTGCTCGATTACAAAAGTTCAAAAAGTAAAAATGAATATGAAACCAAGGATCCCTTACAAATGAGACAGGACAGTTTGCGACGGCTATATGCAAATGGAAATTTTTCAATGAATATTAGATGTGTAAATCGCAAGTGTTGTTTGTCGAACATGAGAGGATATGTATCAATGTCATGCGTGAATTTGAACATCGAACGTCCTAAAATGCAAATATGCTCGGAAAAAGAATGCCCAGATAAAAAATCAGAGAGTACAGTCATGACTATTGCAATCTATTCAAAACTAAATCAGAAAGTGACATTTTTGTAAAGATATTCTGAAGAAATAATGCACTGTTTACCTCCAAAAGAACTTCATCAAGATATAGTAATTGATATCTTTATTCACGACACAAAAGAATTCATTCTTTCTACTTTTATTACGAAAGAAATGCATGTTGTTAAATTTTTGGGGTCACAGTGAGATTCATTTTCCCGTAAATTAGCATACCCCGAAAATATTTTTGTGATGCGACTCCTCGTGTAAAAGATCCGTTTTTTTCACACAATAAATTCTTTGAAAATTTAATACTCTGAATACATCTAATTACACATTTATTTTATGGTTCGCTACTATCCAATTATAACAAATTGTAAACCTCAGTCATTTGTTGAAAATAGAAACATGTCCAATATCACTACACAGAGACTTTTTGTTTACGCACAACTTTTGAGTTCCCCAATTTGAGGCGCATTAGGGATATTGACCCTGATGAGTCTTGTAATCAAAAATATCTTTCAGCTATCAAAAATATCTGAAAAAAGCTGCTGTTTAATTTTTAAACCGGAAATTTACTTTTACTTTAGTTCATTTATTGTCATAAATCCCGAGCAATACGGAAATATTTATGATCGCTGATGCTCATTGGATAACCGTTTATTATTATTCATGATAAACGAGTCATCATTATTATCCGAAACATCTGCAATTTTTTGATTTTTTATACTTTCATTCCTGAAAACGCTATTTAAGAATGTTTTTCCTCCAGTTCACCATGTTTACCATATCGCATGAAAATTTAAAACCCACATAAAAAATAAGATTCAAAAAGTTTTCCATAAAAAAGGAACCACACGCTTTAATTTGTGATTTTGAGATATAATTCGGGAAATGGGCTAAAAAAAGGGATCGTCAATAAAACATTGAGGAACAATTGTTGTTTTTTTCAGTAACGACACACGTTTGGCATTAAATATTAAAATTATCTTGCAAGACACTACATATTAAGAGCAATTCTCTGTAATCACCAAAATATTTCGGCACGCACTAAAAAATATTTGTTTTAAACTTTATTAGTTCAATAGAGCCACATGAGCTTAACAAAAAATATTATTACACTTAGCCCCATATGTTTACCGTTTCCTTGGTAACAGGACTTAAAGTGGCAAGAAAGAGGGAAAATGCAGTGTTTACAAATTATGATCAATTATGTCTAATAAAAAGAAAATAATATAGATATTCAGACATTTAAAACTTTTTTCAATTTAAAAAAAACAAATAAAAATTGTGTTCAACAGTAAACTTTCTTAAAAAATAATCTGTATAGCTAAAATAGGGTAAAAAGTGCAATAAAAGGGGGGTTTTAGAGCCTATTTTGATCAGGTGTTGTAAAAAAATGCAGCCATTTCTCATATTGTTGATTATATGAATAGAGAGAATGGATTAAGGTTATACAAGAAAAGAAAAAAAATCAGTGGGCAAACTTGACTGTATTGAAATTAATTGACCCTGAAAAGTTGAGTTGTCCTGTATTTACCTAATCAAATTACCTCCCTTTACGGAGTTCTCTTGTAGAGAAACAAATTAAAAACAGGAGGGAAAATGTAAACAAATGCAGACAACAATGTTATTTTGCGAATTTCTTCATGTTTTATATTCAAGCATAATGGGAAATGGATAAATTTTTCACAGTGATGTTAGCCTACACTTATATATATGGTTAAGTTGGTATGATTTGCTCATATTTTGAAAATATTGTCAGAACAATGGAACTGTGTCTGTACTAAGACAGTGTATTTTATAGTTTATTTTGCTTACCGTAACTAACTTTTTTAATGTATTTATTTATATAATCTTCGAATAATTGTTATAAAATGTGTAGCATAAAAGATTTCTTAGGCAATTGTGACAACTGCAGTGACGACAGGTATTTTTGAAAATGCTTCCATTGGAAAAAGAGACATGTATAAATTTTTGTCAGAAATTTTTTTACTTAAATCTGACATTACATTGTACGTCACAACTGAGGATCTGTGATATTCATAGAAATATTATCATCGAAACAACTAACAAGAAATATAGAAGGAAAGATTGTGGTGTGCCTTCAGTAAATGTCATTTTGAAATATCATAATACTACAAAAGCAGTGGATCGACATGTTACACCCAAGATGTTTCAAAGAATTGTTACAAAGACAGGCATTTTCATTCCTATTGGAACATGTAAGTAGATACTATTTACCTAATACCATTTTTCTTTAAAAAAGATACAGTGATAAACCTCTTATAAAAAAGAAATCAAATGCAGCTGTCAGGTACCCCCCCCCCCCCCCCCCCAAAAAAAAACAAACAAACAAACAAACAAAACCTTAGGGTTAATATTGTTTACCATTTGGCTATGAACCTTAAGCTTATTGTTTTTAGCATGTGACAGCCATATGAACTTCTTTAATACCCCCTTTTTAAACTGTAAAACATAAAATTATGTGAAGTTCTTTGAATCTTGTTTTTGAGAGACAAAAATTATAACATGAATGCTGTTTCACGTTTCCTTTCCTTTACCAGATTTGTAAGGTTTTGTACATGATAATCACATCATTTCATACCAGTCCTTATGAAATAAAAAATGTTGCAGCAACAATGCTGCAATGTTGCGGCTGCTGATCAGGTTGCCAGAAAATTGATGCCGGATAAGTGCTGAATGATGCCGCTAGCATCATTCTGGCTACAGTGCAGCGCTATTTCCTTTCATGACAAAAAGCGCCACAATGTTGCCATAAAGCACACATATAATTTTCTCATTCTTAATCTACTTAAATGATGCCAGAATAGAGCCAGAACATTGATAATGTCATTGATGATGTCACCAGTGTTTGAGCTTTTTACTGTGGTCATGGTGGTGTGTTAGAAGTAGACCATATATTGCTTGAGCTTATGATTTTAGTGAAGAATTGGGTGTTCTGTTATTGTGAAGACTTGTATGTAAACTTAGATTAACATGATTAATTAAATGCATTATATAAAAGTTCAATCTCTCATTTAATTAAATCAAGGAAATTGTCTTCTTCCTGATAGACCTGGAGAGCATTTTCAAAAAATCCAAATTAACAGGGACGAACTATCATCTAATGGGGCGAATTGGAACCTTCTGAAACATAAGTCATGGTTTCTCTTCCCTTTCTCAATTTAATCCTCGCTAAAATTTTACAGAGCATGCTGAAAGAAGTTTGGTCAATTATGTCTTTGTAACCCTCTAAAGACGACTTGAAAGTGCTATTTGTTTGGGAAAAAATGTAGTATAATCACGAATTTAGATTGCTAAGCAGACAAAACACAACACCTTTGACTGAAGTGAAGGGGCTCCTGTTGGGATCATGGAAATTATGTTGGTGTTATTGAAGGTATAGATGTTGCATGTTGACAGTTCATGAGTTACACATTTTAACTTTCCTTTTCCTCAATGTGGGAAAATTAAGTACATTACATATAGGAATAACTTCTGAGGACAGAACTTTACTTTCTTTAAAAGAAAAAGTTATAATAATAACCCTGAGCACACAAAAAAATCATAACGCTAAATAAAGGAGTTAAAACTTTTTCTCTGGTATACTTAGCACTAAACTTGCCTGGTCAGACGTTACTTTACCTTTTAAGTCAATAATTAAAGGAAGCCAGAATTTAAAGGCATTAGTGGCGCAATAGTGCCAGAAAACTAATTTGCATACAAAATAAAAAACAATATCTGCATTGAAGCCACAACATGTTGCGGCAACGAAGCCACAGTATTTTCTGGTGCCAGAAAACTAATTTGCATATGAAATACACTAATGCAGCATCATTGCCACAACATGTTGGTGCAATGAAGCCGCAACATAGCCCTAATGTTGTCACAACTACATGTATGCGCCAGAAGGCTTATATTCCGATAAGGGCGTGGACAGCCTTCTTTTACTCATGTTTACTTGAGATACATGTATGTTTTAAAATTCATGTTTTTATGTACATACATGTACATGTATATGACCCAACAAAAAAGTATGTGGGTTTACTGTACACCTACCTACCCTAATTTCAGTATATGACCCAACAAAAAAGTATGTGGGTTTACTGTACCCCTACTTACCCTAATTTTTGTCCCCTACCCTAAAGTTTTTTTGACTATTTTTGATTGAGTACTGTTAAAGTCACAATGTTGCTCCCATAGACTCAATGTAAAAAAAAAAAAAAAAATCTCTACCTACCTACCCTTTTTTTTTTTCAGCAAGTGACAGTAAAGACACATATTTTTTTGTTTGGCCTAAATAGTTTTGATAGTGATACACAGAATGAGATCAATTGTGTATCTATTTTCTTTTATATTACAGCAATTTGTAGACTGTGTAGAGAAAAACTATTTGGAAATAACAGTATTGAGCATGTTGAGGAGGTATGTCTTTTCATATACATGTATAAATATGATTCCCTGTACACATGTATACTCAATAGTCAATAGTGAGTTTATTGTTATGTCATGTATGTATGGGATCCATATTGTAACTACATGTCAAACTGCATATGTACTCAGTTTTACTATGACAAGAATAAGAAGATCTTTCAATTCAGAAATAACATTAAACTTTAAAGTTCCAATTTGGTCTTCATATTCACTAAGCTTTTGCACATTTTATTTGGTAAACTAGTTTCATCATTAAGCATTAGTAAAAAATCTATTAAAATAAAAACCAAGATTTTAATTGATCTAATTTACATGTACACTTAGGGCCAATAGGGGTTAAACTATGCATTCATGCATGCATAATTGAGGGTAAATTAAGGGTAAATTTCTAAATCATTTCTGTATAAAACATACATCAACTGAACCCTAACCCATTCATATATTACTAAACCCTCTAAGATAGGTTGGTTTTTGCTTCAATATTATCATGTGTATTCCAGAATTCATTATTGTTCCAATTTCAATTAGTACCTTGTTTAAAATATTCTTAAAAAGTTTTTCTTTTCTTTTAATTTAGGAGAACACTATTGAGACAAATACAAAGAACAAGATTGCAGAAGCTGAAATACTACCACCTTAAAGAAAGAGGGTAGGTATAACTGTATATAAAATAGTATCATTGCATACACTTTATAAGAAGTCTCATAAACTTGACTTTATAAGATATCTTGTAAAAGTATTTAAGATATCTTGAATAATATCAGATTATTACATGGCATTTGTCATATCGCATGTATTATCAGCCCTAGGTTTAATATCAGCCCTAGGTTTAATATCAGCCCAAGAGCCGCATGGCTTGAGGGCTGATATTGGCCGAGGGCTGATAATACATGTGATATGAAAAATGACATGCTATGATCTTTTTATCATATGCTTCAACAATGGAGAAAAATAACAGATTAATATATATTGATCTTTTTACGTGGTTCTTAAATAGCAGTTCAAAGAGTGAAATATTATAAGTTACATAGTGTGCTAGTGACCTAATACGGTATATATGGGGTCAGTAAATTCTATATGGGGTGAGAGCAAAGCTCGAATCCCCATATGGAATTTACTGACCCCATATATACCGTATTACGTCACTAGCACACTATGTAACGAATTTTTCTTACCGACTATCTTAACGTGTGAAATTTAGACTAGAGACCTATCAAAATGAGCACTGAAGTCTTCAATACTTTTAGCATTAAGAAACTTCTCTCATTGATCCTACAGACACAGCTGCCAACAATAACAACTTGTTAGCTTTAAATGTGTTTTATGAATTCATTTCAATCTTAATAATCAATTTCTTCGTCTGTTGAAATCTTTAAGATGTTTTCTCAATACCGTTTTGTTTTTATAAAGGGACGCAACACCACTACTAACTGTGTACGAAATAAGCCCCGCCTTCTTTCTAACCTTATATGGAATATAAAGGGGACGTAACTCCACTACTAACTGTGTATGAAATAAGCCCCGCCTACCTTCTAACCTTATATGGAATATAAAGGGACGTAACTCCACTACTAACTGTGTATGAAATAAGCCCCGCCTCCCTACTAACCTAATATGAAATATACACAGTCTCCCCACGGACGCTTTAAACCAATCATATTCCTAGAAATGTATAGGAGGTAAGATAATCATGGATGTAAGACCCCAAATGTTGTACAATCGATATGAAATCTTTCTATCATATGCCTCAACAATGAAGAAAAAAAACCAGTATGTTATATTTTAATACGGATGATAAAAAAATAATTCAACAATATACATAATAAACACTGTTTGGAAAAGTCAACATTTTTAAAGTAACTTTCTTAATTATGTTAAAAATGCATTTATTTTATCATTTGTTTATTGTTTTTTTTTTCCCATTTTACACAATATACTTTCCAGTATACAAATAATTATTTTGTACCCTACTTTGTAATGTTTTTCACTGAAAACGTACCATTGAGGTGTATTTTCCAGAATTTGCCGAGTATTACCGGAATGCCATGCGATAACGTTATGGAAAGGCATGTGATAAAAGTCGAAGCATGTGATAAACTTTTCATATCAGACCGCTAAGCACCAATTCGAAAAAATATGGAATATACGTAAATGTAATGCTATTATCATATGGTAAAAATCATATGTTATTTAGTCTAAGTATATGATAATATATTTTATATCTTTCATGAGATATCTTATAAAGACGTTTATAAAGATATCTCATAAACTTTAGAAGATATAAGATTTTCAAGATATCCAATTAGGAGCTTACTGTATTGAATTTGCAGATTTGGAGCCATCAATCATGGATTTGAGGGTCGCAAATTGAGTTTACTAACGACACGTTAGCGGAGCCAGTAAACGGATATTTGCGACCATCAAATAATAGATTGATGGCTCCAAATCTTCAGATTGATATATACCCTGAAAATTACGACTTTATCCAATGAAATTTGACGTACGTACGTTACAACGAATGTTGCATTAGAATGAATGTTATAGGACATCTGATATAATTAATAAGATATCTTATAAAACAATTTTATAAGATCTCTTATTGTCCACTGGAGGGGACATAGAAATACCGGTGTCCGTGCGTCCGTCCGTCCAAAATCAGTTTCTGGACCGTAACTTTTGAACACCTTCATATAATTTTTTCAAACTTACACAGTTGAATGTTTATTAGGTAATGAAGATCCGTATTGATTTTGATGTTTATAGGTCAAAGGTCGAGGTCACAGATATTTAATGATGTTGAATTTTCAGCTGACAATCGGTTTCTGGACTGTTACTTTTGAACACCTTCATATTATTTCTTCAAACTTACACAGTTGAATGTTATTAGGTAAGGAAGATCCCTATTGATTTTGATGTTTCTAGTCATTCAAAGGTCAAGGTCACAAGTTCTTTATGGAAATATTATATTTTAGCACCAGTGGGGGACCCCGGAGCCTCCTCTTGTTTAGTTTATAAGATATTTATTTTATAAGATATCTCATAAATTAGATATAAGATATTTCATTAACTTTCTTTCATATCTTATCTTTTAATTCAGACATAGGAGCCCTATAGTAATCAGCTTTCCGTCTGTCCGTCACAAACAGTTTTCACAAAATAAATCAAAAAGGCTATCACAAATCAATGTGAAAGTTTAATGGCTACCTACCAAAAAGCAGGGATATCACTAGTGAGCAATGACTCACAGCACATCTTGTTTTATATTGTGTCTATCAGAATTCTTTTAGTATCCAATCTTTTGTAGGCACTTGATAAAGTACCAGGGAAGCGTTACAGGGTGAAGGTTGTTGACACAATCCTTGATTTAGATGTAACCAAGAATAAAGAAACAATAACCAATATTACAAGTTTTTACAACTTTAGATTTGAGAGCAGTCATTTGAGGATGTGGCAGACATACAATATTGATGAAGGTATTACTTTTATATTCAACATAAAGAAAAAAACAGATTACAAATAACATATAGTTTTAAACATAACACAACCACTGAAAATACAGGGTCTGGCTTGTACACAGGTGGGTAAAAGAAGTCTATAAGTACTCAACCCTCCTCCGAAATCCTGGTTCAGAGGTTAAAAGTATATAAAGACAATTAAAAGCAATACCAATACTAAATTCAATAAGCTCAGCACTTCATCTTAAAACATAAAAAATTAAATCATCTTAATAAAAAGGTTGCATTGAGCCTATTGATAAAAAGACCACAAACTCCTAGACTAGAATGGATGCTATAAAAATTCACGTAATTTTATATGATAACGGCATAAAAAATCTATAGAGTTTATGATCTTGAAGTTGGTTATTTTTTTTAAACTTCCATATTGATCAATTTAACAAACAATAAAATGAATACAGGTTCTTTAATTACAATTTTCATTTCAGGAAAGCTTGTGACTTTAAAATCAACAAAGAATTCTGCAGAGGCGGATTTAGAGGGTTTTTCAGGGGACCCGGGCCCCCCTTTTGTGGGAAACATTTTGTTGATTATATAGGGAATCACTGAAACATGACTGGAGCGGGCCCCTTCTTAAGCAGTCAGTGGGCCCCCCCTTATGAAAATTTCTGGATCCGCCACTGTTCTGTGCAGTTAAAAGTACTCAATGACTGGACAGAGATGTCTTTTAATGACCTCATTACTGAAGGTAATTTTATAATTACTTCATTTACTAACTGTCATGTAAAAAACTTAAGCACACTTGTAAGACAATGATCATTATTATATTTTGTCACAACAACCGAGAAAAACCAACACAAAACTCAATAAACATTGTTATGCATTTTTAAAATTTCGTGCTTGTGGGTTACAGGATTATGGGTATCGACAGAATCTTATTATAGATAATCAGGCTGTCGATTGTTGAAAGAGAAATTTATACATGTTGTATCGTTGTCCTTTTTAGGTCACCTGGCCCATTTTGAGTCCGTCTGGCATTAACTTTTTCAAAAATCTTCTGATACAACTGGCCAATTGGAACTGAACTTGGTTAATGTAGTAAATTTGAATTTTTCTATTTTTTTTGGGAAACAATTTTTATTTTATTTATCCTCTTTTTAGGAACAGAATAGGCTTCAAAACAACAGAAGCAGACATTCATTTGTTCTATGGATGGCTGCATTCAAGAGTTCAAGAACCAGATTAGTCTTGATCAACACCTCCTTCAAGGCAGCTGTGAATATAAGCTAGAGAAAGGCCCATTAAAAGATCAGGCAAAAGTTCTATATGCCCAAAAGCTGTCAAATAATGTACATCATTGTCCTGATATGCAAGCAGTCTTACTAGAAAATGCATGTACTACAGACTTGAGTGCCAAAGAAATGTGATGGGCATTGAAAGTGAAAAAGAAAAAGATTTTCTTTAGCATCAAACAGAAAGAATTCATGACGGATTTATTTTATTTATCTTGAAAGGATGCAAAAAGCAGCCATATTGGATTCAACGACATTATATTTTCCCAATAAATAGGCGAAATAGAGAAAAAAACGCCTACCTTAAACTACTTTGTAATAGCTTATATCCAAATTTGAAGCGTAAACAAAGCCCCAAAACATACTATGTTACAGTTTTACACTTGAAGTATTCATATGACGTCATGATGTTGCTATGAAGTTTATGTGCCAAAGAAGTCAACAACATTTTGTGGAATTTTTATTTTAAGCAACTATATGTCCAAATAAAAAACAGAAACAATATCTTTATTGACTATTGCATTAGAATGGATATAACTGTATTGTATTTTAAGGTTTGTGGACGTAAATCTAGATTTTACTGTTGCAATTATCTGTTTACCTAGCTCTGCTACAGGTCACTAGGTAAACTCAATTTGCGACAGTAATATCTACGTTTTATGTCCGAAAAGGTTAAAATACAATACAGTTATCTCCTAAATTACCTACACATGATTGCACCAATATGAGTTTAATATAATGAAATTTGCTTGTACTTAGAAGGTGTTTTACTTATTTTAAATATTTAAGTCGGACCAGCATTTTACCCACATTGCTTTATAAATAGCAAACTTTGTTGATCTGTATCAGTTAAAAACTAATATGCACAATCAGTTCTTTCTTCCCTCTGTATTCAATTACAAAATTAAATCTTTAAAAATGTAAAGATACATACTGAATTTTAGAAAGAAAAAAAAATTGTAAAATTTTCGAAATTCGGTTACCATAGCAACCATTTTTATTAAATTTCATTAAACAAAACTATTTTTCTGGACTGTAAAATTTAACTGATCAATTTTGTTAAATTGTAAGAAATTTAATGCCATCTTTGTATTGTTTAAATATGGAAATTACTTGGATCATTATTGACTTGTAGAAAAATACAATTTACAGAATTTGAAAATCTTGTGTTTTTCATTCATTAAAAATATTTTTTGCAATTATTTGCCCATTGATTTTATTTTATATTCTGGAAGACGTATATTGGTTCTTTCTAAATATACCTAACATTTTACTAGGAGATGCTGCCTTCAAGAAAAAAATTCCATTGAATACCCTGAATTTACGCATTTTTCACTGAAATCCAAATTTGCCATTTTAGCATATCTTTACTAGCTGGTAGCAAAATAACTGATAATGGTAAAAGTAAAACATATGTGAATTTCAAACAGCTTAAAGGTCAGTTATATTATATTATTCAGAAAAAAAGGATATGTTACACATAAATCAAGTACTAAACAGTGCAAAATGTCGTTTTTTCACTTTTTCAAGAGTTAAAATATGACCTTTTATTGCTAAAATCAACCTATGTGGTTTCCATGGCAACCGGAATATTCCGGAACAATTTGTTGCCTGTTATTGCCTTTAGGTATGGTACTGGCTTTTATATAAAAGTTTCATCAAAATCTGAGACCATGTGTGCCAGACCCTATTAGAATTTCTTTGGTGGTTACAGAGAATTGCTCTTAATAAGAAATCAAATATATATATATATATATAAAGAAAAGTCAAATAGAATTCGTATGCTGGTAACATATAAGAAAATAAATATAAGATAATGACGGTTTCAATTCATCACTTTTACTAGCGCTTTCACTGCTTTCACAGATCTTCAGGTAATGTGACTTGTATACATAAATGTTATAAAACAATTGATTGACGTTAACAATAGTATGACGTTAACAAATACAAGGGAGACTACTAATGTCATTTTAAAATTGGAGTAAAGTCTTTAAAATGTTTCGTAAAAATTAAAATATTATTTATCATTTAATCCCGGGTTGAGAATGTTTATGAATAATTCTTCTTTCTTCTTCCGGAGAAAATCATTTTGACGATTGACCATTTACAACGGAAATAATTTAAATCGTCCATTAGAACAACTATGGAAATGGTCGTTAGCCCTGATGATTGTTAAATCTTCATGGTTGGTTTGCTGTCTATGTACAGTCATTCTAGTCCGCAGTTCTGTTTTTTCTCTCCAATATAGAATTCCTCACAATTTGAACATATGAGAGAATAAATGACGTTTGAACTTTTACAAGACATATTTTGTTTAACTGTGAAATGCTTTCCATTTTTGAAATAAATTAAACTTTCTTCTATTAAATCTGGACATGTCATACATCGTTTATCGGTACATTTTCTAACAATAGGCAAAGTTTCATTAAAGTCGAATTCTGAAGATGTTAAATATCGTTTTAGACTTTTTGACTGTCTTTTACTGTTGATAATCTTCTTTTTTTGTTATACTTTGTCCATTTTTTCACTTTTGTGTAAATTATTTTCAATTTGTCGCATGAAACTAAATATATCATAATCTCGTGGGTTATATGTCGTGACAAACGGGATAATTTTGTCTAAATTGTTTGATGATTCTTCGGTTGTTTCGGATCGCCATGATTCTGTAATGATTGGTCCTTTTATCAGTGCCTTTTGAATTCCGTAATCTATCACTTGTTCCGGATATTGCTGCTTTTTTAAATACACTTTTAATTCTTCCAATCTTTTATTGCGTAATAGTTCTGTACTTGTAATGGTATTTATTCTTGACGCTAGATTAAAAGGTATATTTAATTTTACATGTTTTGGATGATTTGAGTAAAAATTTAAATACATATGTGTATCGGTGTCTTTAGAAAAGATATCTGTGACAATTTCATTGTCTTCCGTTATAAGTACTAAAATATCCAAAAACGGCATTTTGTTGACATTTCTGTTAATTGTGAAACGAATATGTGGGTTTAAAGAATTTAAATCAGAATGAAAATCTGAGACAGATATATCTGAATTCCAAATTATAAAACAATCGTCAAGAAATCGTTTCCAGTTTTGACGTAGGTAAATGGCAAAGTCATTTCCGTATTTATGGTCCATTTGTTCGTATAATAATTGTTCCAAATATCCAAGTACTAAAGTGGCGTACGAAGGCGCCATTTTAGTACCCATAGCTGTTCCTTTTTTCTGATGATAGTATGTGCCGTCAAAGTAAAAGATATTTCTTTCTAATATAAGTTTCAAAGATGCAAGGATAAATTCTTTTGTTAATCTGTTTTCAATGACGTTTTCCGTATTTTCTAACCAATATTTTACGGCTGTAATTCCTAAGGCATGTGGGATATTTGTGTAAAGACTGACAATATCAAAAGTAATGAGTTCTGAATTAGGATTTACAGTTGTTGGTAGATGATTTAAAAATTCCAAATCGTCTCGTATAAAACTAGGAACTTCACGACAAGGTTTAATCACAATGTCTATAAAATGGCTTAAATTCTGTGTGACGCTGTTGGGTCCGCCCACAATAGGTCGAAATTTTAAATCATTTTGTCTTAAAAGTTCGATGTATTCACTGTTTTGTTCTGATACCGCATTTGAAATTTCCTCACTTTTGTGAATTTTGTGAAACCATAGAAATAGCTTTCTGCAAATTTAGAGTTTGAAATGTAATCCATCTCTTCTTTATACAATTCAGTCTTATGTTTATTTAGTAATTTTTTAATCATTGTACTTGTTTGTTTGTCCATTTTTGTATCTGTCACCTCATAAAACATTTCATCTTGTAACATATTTTAAATTTTATCTCGGTAATACTCACGGTCCATGATTACAACCGCGTTCCTTTTATCCGCTTCTTTAATTATTATTGATTTATCTGATTTTAAATTTTGCAAAGCTGTTTTCTCCTCGTGGGTTAAATTGTCCTTGACATTTTTATTGCTTTTAAGTGAATTCGTTTTTAATGTTTTAATTGTTTCTTCTAAATCTTTGTCTTTTGTGGGTTTTGGAATCCAGTCTGATTTATTTCTTACTAGTGGTTTATTTTCTTCTTCTTCGTTTTCTTCATTATCCTCACAAAAAATATAATTTATCCTCAATCTTCTGCCAAATTCATCAATGTCGGCTCCAAGTTGTGTTTTATCCTCATTTGGAGTTGGTGTAAATTTTAATCCTCTTTTTAAAAGATTTATTTCCCTTAATTGTAATTTTTCAAGCGACAAGTTTATAATTCTAGGGTGAATTTTTTCCGTGTTTGTTAGGCTATTTCCTTCCGGAACGTCTCCTGGGTATTCTTTGTTTCTGATGATAGAATTGTGTTCCGTGTACTGCGGTCTGTTGTCCCTTCGCCCTTGTCGTTCATCATGCGTTGTCCTAAAAAATGGTTCTACGCCTCCGGGTGCGGGAATTTCTCGCTGCATTGAAGACCTGTTGGTGACCTTCTGCTGTTGTCTGGATTATGGTCGGGTTGTTGTCTCTTTGACACATTCCCCATTTCCATTCTCAATTTTATTCTGAACGTTTTTCCCTATGTATGTAGTACCATTATCATTAATGAAATTTTGTTGTCTTCTATCTGGTGCGGGATTTCTTCGTAATCTCAAATTATAGTTATTCTGATTCACGTTTGTTGTTTGTTTAGAAATATGCTTTTGATGTTGTTGAAATTTTGGTGTATTTCGGGGTTGTAAATTTCTGCGGGGATTATCCCAGATTTCGAAGTGGTGCATTTATAATCACAACTTTGTAAAGTTTACGGACGCCTTCACGAGTTGGTTGGCTTTTATATATATATTTTAAAGAACCCCAAAGTATTCCTAAGATTTATCATGCACCGTAGAACAATAAGATCCATAATAAAACCAAAGAAAACAAATATAAAAACAAAAAATAAAAGCGATAAAATTCATCAACAACATGGCATGTTTTATATAAAACAAAACAAAAATAACAACAAAAGAAATGATTTTAGCTTCCTAATTGTGAACCTTCCATATCTATTTAGCAACATTCCAGCAACGCCTTCATACAGAATATATATCTCCCATTTGGTATTCCAGGATGATTTCCTATCATGATTTTTGATAGAGGGTTTCTTCTCACAAGGTAGCTAATTATAATCACAACTTTGTAAAGTTTACGGACGCCTTCACGAGTTGGTTGGTTGTTTTGGAATGTTCGTTTCACAGATGGTTGCAGATATGTTCCAAATTTCTTAACCACAATACCTTACCCTTCCCTTAATTTGACCTACCAAAATAAGGCTTATTACTGGGTTTGTACTAACATGAGAAACAAGACGGGAGCAAGATGTGAAGCAAGATCTGCGTACCTTCCGTAGCACCTGAGACCACCCCAAGTTTATGATGTTGTTCGTAACGCCCAGTCTTCAGTTTTCTATGCTGTGTTATTTGTACTATTGTTTATAGATATAAGAAGATGTGGTATGAGTGCCAATGAGACAACTCTCCATCCAAGTGAAAATTTATAAGGAAAACCATTATAGGTCACAGTACGGTCTTCAACACGGAGCCTTAGCCCACACCGATCAGTAAGCTATAAAGGGCCCCAAAAAATTACTAGTGTAAAACCATTCAAACGGGAAAACCAACGGTCTAATCTATATAAAAAACGAGAAACGAGAAACACTTATGAACCACATCAACAAACGACAACTACTGAACATCAGATTCCTGACTTAGGACAGGTG